GACTTTTAGTCTTTAAATAGTTTATTTGAATTTCTTTTGTTGTTATTTTGTAAAACAGGTATTAGTTGTTTTGGTAGTGTTTAAATATTCGTTCAAATTAAAAATTATTAAGCGTAGGTACTTTTATTAATTAAAGTAGTTATAAGTATTTATTTTTAAGTGAAGGAGGTATAGGTAGATAGTATTGCACAGGCGTTTCAGCTTTATTTTCATTTCTTTTTTGTTGTGAGTTGTATATATTTCTGGTTATAATTCTATAAGAATATTTTAGTTCAAATAGTCACTTAGATTTTATGTGTAAGGTAGCTAAAGTTAGGACCACGTATTAGTTGTTTTGGTAGTGTTTAAATATTCGTTCAAAGTGTAATTTAATCATATAGGATGAATGTACGATGGCCCATCGAAAAGGAGTAGAAGCGGTAGACAGAACTTTAAGAGATATAAGACTGATGAAATGATCGACCCATGGGCGGTATCACAGTTTTATTTTGTGGTGATTTCCGACAAACCTTAACGGTAATACCACGGGGAACCCGAGCTGCTGAGGTTAGGGCTTGCCTGAAAAGCTCTTATTTGTGGCGTGATATACAATCGGTGCATTTGACTATAAACATGCGAGTGAGAACTGTAGATAACCCGGATGATCGTGAATTTTCTGATATATTATTAAAGAAAATATCTTCACCAAAGATACCTATCCACTGCTACACCAAGGAAAATTTATTCTGACGCCTGAGTTATGTTGTATAGTGCAATCCCAACAACATCTTACATCGTCAGTTTACGGTGACGTAACAAATATATTAAATAAGAACAATTCTTGGCTATGCGAAAGGTCCATTTTAACTCCTCGCAATGACCAGGCATCTGAGATTAATAATAAAATACTGTCGAATGTCCAGGGGGAAAGCAAAGTTTATAGTTCAATAAATAGAATGGCCGATGAACAAGAAGCCACTTATTACCCGATAGAATTTTTAAATTCTTTAAATATGCCCGTACTTCCTTCTCATGAAATTTGTTTAAAAATTGGCATTCCGATTATTCTGCTCCGAAATTTAAGACCACCACAAATTTGCAATGGAACTCGGCTTAAAGTAACCCAGTTGCAACAAAATGTAATCGAGGCTCAAATTTTAATAGGTTGCGGTGCAGGAGAAACCATCTTTATTCCCAGAATTCCCATAATACCAAATAATTTTCCATTCCAATTTAAAAGAACGCAATTCCCAGTATCGGTGTGTTATGCAATGACAATAAATAAGGCTCAAGGGCAGACCTTTCGTGTTGTTGGAGTAGATCTCGATGTCAGTTGTTTTTCACATGGTCAGTTATGTCGGTCTTTCCCGGGTTAGCAGTCCTAGAATTTTTTATGTTCACGTTCCGGACGGGTCAAATTTCAACGTAGTCTACCCGGAAGCTTTGCGCTGAAGTATTTTCATTCTATATGTACTTAAGACTCATGTGAAAGCGATCTAAACAATATTACCAATACATTAACATAATAACATACAAGGAGTTACACGCTGATGGTCTCGGGGCACAGTGATAATAATAATATTCTGCGGTTCCTTATTGTGATATTTTTAACAGTATTATATTTCCCTACTAAAATACGAAAGTTAATCTGTCTGTCACATCAAAACCACGGAACCCTGAGGAAGGACATATGCTACTTTTTTACGAAAAACGACGATAACGCGGACGAAGTCGCGGGCAAAAGCTAGTCAAATAATAAAAGCTAAGTTTATAATATTTTGAAGTAGCTTCTTTTGACAACTAAGTTTTCGTGCAAAATAAGAAAAATATTATTTATTACCTTCTTTAAATAAAAAAAAAACTGGGAGTGCCGTGCCGGCAGAAGTGAAAACTTGAATATTAACGTTGTGCATTTTTGTTATTTTGGAATGGTTAGAGAATAATTTTGCACGAATTGCTTTAATTATCAGTATAAAAGTACTATCATGTATGTGGTAGAATACAATATTTATTTATTGCGCTGTCGTACACAAACATGACAATTTATATTACATTAAAAAAGTTTATCTCTCTGAAAAATCTTCTTACATGAATCACGTTTAAGTGCACTTAGCGACATCTATTGTAAAGAAATCAACTTACATGAATCACATTTAAGCGCACCTAGTGACATCTATTGTAAAAATATGCATTTTCTTCGCAATAAAGTTGCCACGTGGACGTCCTAGATAGAGACTTATTATTATAATACGGTAAAATAAAATATTACTATGTTTCGTCCAATATATTGAAAGTCAACAACCTTTCCAATTTTATTGTGTGTCATGAACATGATGCGATCAGCCCACGTGTTAAACCTGAAGCGAGTTTAACATGTTTTACCCATACAAAAAAAGTGTACAACGCCGCTAAATAAGTTTTCACATAAAAATATTTTTAACACACACCTTAGCCTAGCCCCATAGTAGGTTTAATAGCACTGTAATGCTTGTGTTATGGGATACTAGGGTAACGAATAGAATACATATACTGATACGTAGCTAAGTATTTTTTTTATTTAGAAATACATATAAACATCCATGCCTTAGGTAAAAATGATCTTATTCATCATGCAAACATTTGCCCCACCATCAGGATTCGAACCTCTGAGTACTGAACACAAAGAATGCAATATGGCTCTTCAGGATTGAATTTGCCGCAGTGTTATAAATCATGCTCAAAGTTACGATATTCTTTAACTGTCTCTCTACGAAGAGTTCCACAGCACAGATAGTTAGCGCATGCGGTCTGCGATTGAGGAAGTTAAACAACTTTCACAATAGCCTGTCATCGGATGGGTGATCAAAAACTTCTCCGTGCTTCAAAAAGCACGTTTAGCTGTGGGTTCCGGCTGCATCTGCAGTTGTTAACACCTACCAATCCGCATTGGGCCCGTGTGGTAGGTCATGGCCCAATCTCTCTGCCAATGGGAAGGACTGTGCCCCTGCTGCAGGGAAATGAATAGGCTGATGATGATGATGATGAAGCGGTACAAAGTTCGCCGGGTCATCTAGGAAAAAAATAATAGTGGAAATATTGCAAAACATTCTTTAGCAGTAAAATAAGCGACAGTGTTGTCTTTTCTGACCTAACTATTACCCTAAAGACGTCTTGGTGTTAATACAACATAACTTTGCTTAGTATTAATTTCACACTTAAAATGGTATTTCCCTATCCAGGCGGGCGATGCAATTCAAGCGGAAAACCTGCTGATTCTTACTTATTTAAAAAAATGGAACGCCCTCCCCGAATGTTTCAGCATAATCATAAAGGTGTATACTGTAATCAACACAGCGATGCTTCGTTTCAAAACAGGTCGTGTTAGCATAGAAATAAAGACCTCATTGCTGTATTCAAGAGTAACATTAAACGAATCTTCCAAAAAAATACTCTCAAGAACTTAATAAATTGTGCATTTCGAAGTGTCAGACAAAAGATTAAGCTTATGTTTGTTATTAAACGTTGTTTACATTAGAATGTGCAACCGACTTGAAACAGAGCAGTCGAGTTTGAAAATATAATATAAGGACAGGAGCTTTCAATACTTTTTAAGTTGATAAAGTAATAACAACAAATCCCCCAATCAGTCTAATGAACCCGTCTGGGCATGTATTTTTCATTTTTGGAGATTTATATTTATTATTATAGAAATAACAATATGCCGACTCGTGAAGCTGAAGTTCTGCGTAAATTTCATTTAGTTGTGAATTGATTTTTAAAAGAATAAAACTAATACTATATATTTAAAAAAAAAGAATTGTGTGCACGGTCAACACATCTGAAGTTAAACTTCTTTTCTTAAATAACCTAATATTATAAGGCGGTGCATAAGGCATAGGGGAATGGAGCAGCACACGCATACATGATATCAAATCATATATATATATATATTGTCGTGTAATTCTCGTGACGCATTGCCGTTTCATCTCTTCCATAGGATTTTCCATTTAGAAGTTTGAAAAATAGTCAGTAAAAAGTAATATCTAAAATTATGGTATATCGAAGTTGCCGCTCTAATTGGAACGCCCAATGTATTTGTATGAAATGAGATCCTACTAATCCCATCTTACTATATAATATTATAAATGTGAAAGTTTATATGTATATATTTGTTTCATATATTTTTACTTAATCACACAAAAACTACTGAACGGGTTTTAATGAAATTTCGAACGCATTTTATGACCTAAATAGAATGAGACAATGGAAACTATTAATCCCGGAAAAGTTTTAGGGTCTATGGGATTCTCCATAAACTTAATTTAACACAGACGAGGTGGCGGGCGGCCGCTAGCGAATATATAATGATGATCAGTGTAAGAGGACTTTTTGTCTTTCCTTCCGTTCAGAACATCGTTTAAGATTTGGATGTGACTGGAGCAGTACATTTTTTAGGATTCTGTACCTCAAACGTAAAACAGAACCCTAATCAGATCACTTTGTTAACCGTCTGTCGCTCTATCTGTATGTCAAAAGCCTTTATCTCGGGAATAGGTGAAAGTATTGACATTTAAGCCATATACTTAGATTGAAAGTCCCCTGAAGCTGTAAAAAAATTACTTCTTAGTTATCATAAAAATAGATACGACCGATTTATATGTCTGTCAAGACCCTTTATCTCGCGAAAGCTTGAAGGTAGCGTCAAGTCGAAATTTGAAAACCTTATATGCTCAAGCTTCTTTTGAAGCTGTGAAAAATCACACTTCTAAGTTTCGTACGTAAAAAAAGATACGACCGTTTATGTTGCGTACTTACAAATTTGTACGGGACTCTCGGTGGGCGAGTCCGACTCGAGTTTTTTACTGCATCAGCTATATTAGCAATTGGACTCCATCAAAAAGTAACGTCAGGGAATGAGGAAATTTGCTGAGCCTTGTACAAAAAACATAATTTTATTAGGATTTACTAGGATTTACAGCAGCTACAGCCTGTGTACCTATTAGTACCTATGAAATCACAATGCTTTATCTTTTTTTTCGCAGTATGAATTCAAAGCGAAGGGCGTGAAGAAGCGCAAGGTGACCGTAGACGTATCAACAGACGGAGTACGAGTCACAACTCGCATGCAGAAAACTAAGGCAAAGGTAAGTTTAAAACTTTTTTTTTTGGGAGGTAGGAGTAAAATTAACTAGACGTTTTTAAAACTCATCATCTTTTTATTTTTATTTTAAATAGTTAAAGTATCATTTGGTTTCCTTTTTAGTTCAAATTTAGCAGCTAATAAAATAATAGTCACTATATATTGTTAGTGGCATACTCTATGCAATAAATCCAATTTTAACTGCACTTCACTGCCGGCTGTGATTTTTCTTTGCACTGCATTATTCTTTTTCTCAACTGACTTGAAAATGGCCACTTTGAGTGATATACATAATACTCAAAAGTCACTTGAATCCATTCTCCTGAAGAAGATGACAGAATTTGAGGCACAACTGAAATCAACAACGGAGCCGTCTTCGGTTGGTGTCCTTTACGAAGAGTTCAGAAACTTCAGGGAGACTGTTTCAAGCATCTTCAGTGTCCTTCAACAGCAAATACTGAGCCTTACTCTTTCTGTTGACTCCATTGAGGCTAGACAGCGTAGCAAAAGTTTGCTTTTTTATGGTGTGCCAGAGGAAACCAAGGAAAACACTAGTGATATCATAGTTCAACTAATTCAGGAGAAACTCTCTATTGAGAATGTTGGACCTTCTCACTTCAAGGCTTGTCACCGTCTCGGGGCTCGAGTTGAGGATCGCCCTCGTCCTATTCTTGTGAGGTTCAGAGACCACACAGCAAAGACTTCAATCTGGATGAAGAAGACCGCTCTTAAGGGCACATCGTTTGTAATCACCGAGTTCCTAATCCTTGATCCAGGTTTTATTTTGAAGTTATATTTTTTAAGCTGACGTGTGTGTCTAAAAGTCTGTTAATGAATGGGTGAAACATGCAATCTTCTTATATAGCATTTTTCTTTAAGGAATCAGAACCTCTTAGCCAAGTATGGTGTATAGAGCAGAGCTGAACAAGTTGTGATAATAATTAAGCAACATTCTCGATTCAATGGATTGTGGACAAAATTAACGAAATTTCATTCATTATTTTAGCTTATTAGCGGATGAACTTCCAGAAATACTTAAAATTTCTAACCTTTTTAGGCAATCAGACGCCTAATTGCCAAGTTTGATACTTTCGATCCATCTCCTACTTCAATCCCTTAAAGGATGAATTACAAACAAAAACTTAACTGTAACTTTTTATTGTGTATGTTTACTAAAGCCATTTCGTTGAATAAACAAACCGAACCGTGACATCGCGCGCGAAAGCCTCTCCTTTTTGTGAATAGAAACAATTTATAAAATGACTTAGCATTTGTTTGCTCGGCGTCTGTGTGCTTTAGAGATGTGCTAATAAAAATCTTTATTTGATGTCCCACTACGACTACTATAGTTTCGGATAAAACATTGTATCGAGATGAAATTCAATATTTTATTGTGCTTTACATAATGAAGTTTATTGATACATTGTATTGGGGTTTATACGAAATATCAGTTACTTTTCCTTACTGAAAGCGAAAATTTACAAAAGACATGATAAATAAACGAAGAATAGAACTATAGTCTTTTGGGGTAACCTGCTACTACTTTCTTAATGACTGGTCTTTTTCTATGTGCACTTTAAGGGTAAATTTTTAGCTAGAATTTATTAAATCAACATTAGTCCATTATAAGGCCATCATCATCATCATAATCCGCCGATGGACGTCCAGTGTCCTCTGGATCTAAAGCTGGATATAGGCCTCGTCTAGGGATCTCCAAATAAAACACGCATCGGTCCTGCGCATCCAATGGGTCCCACTGGAATTAAGCCATCGTCATCAGTTCACTAAAGTCATTGCTGGAGCACAGACTACGTCTTACTTTACTGAAAAGAGGGAGAGGAGAGAAGAGGCCATAATCATAGGGGGATTGGTGGATGCTAACGACTCATGGCGCGATTACATTTGGTCGCTAGCCCGCATACGAGCGGAATTCGGGTAAACAACTAAGGCCCGTATTATAGAAAGATTCTCAGTGATTGATCTAGTCTTGAGCATAGTTAGAAAGGGATGTCACTATATATAGCACATAGCGATATCCCGTTCTAACTGTACTCAAGTAAAGATCAACACTTAGTTGTCATTCGAACAATGAACATTCATAAATGAACGGAGTCGAGTTGTAAGCCCGTATTCGGTTAGATTTCCTTTTGTTTACCCGACACCATCTTCAAGCACGTATTCCAGTGTAGATATTGTTTCGGGTGCCCGAATTTTGAGTAATGTCTTTCGTGCCATCAGATGCAGTTTGGTCAAACCAGGACCAGGCTCAACGCACCTAGCGAGTCACGGAAATGAGCATTTTTTAATTACTCATTCGGATTACTGGCAATTGCGAAAGCTTTTTCACAATCGCAGGTAATGAGTTCCCTCAAAATCTATACTAATTATATCTGTAATATATACTAAACTAGCGGCCCGCCCTCGCTTCGCTTCGGTGTAGAGCTGAAGTGTAGACTACAGTTTTTGTTCTCAGGCTTGTATAATGCACAATGAAATTCATCTATGATTCTTCTTATACCTGCATGCAAAGTCTCAGCCCCATCGATTTAAAATTGACAAAGATTCATACAAACTTTCATTCCCTATTTTATCCCCTTGGGGGCAAAATTGATCAAATTCCTTTCTTAGCGGATGCCTACGTCATAACATCTGCCTGCATGCTAAACTTCAGCCCGATCCGTCCAGTGGTTTGGGCTGTGAGTTGATAGATCACTATATCAGTCAGTCACCTTTGAGTTTTATAAATATATATATATAAGCTGAAAACTTTGTTTGTTTGGTTGAACTCGCTAATATCAGGTTCTACTGAATCAAATTGTTTTTTTTTTTGTGATAGATACCCCATTTATCGGGGACGGTTATAAGGCTATAAATAGGACATCATGGTAAGACTAATAATCTGAGCATCAATGAAAAATGTTGCGAAAACGGGGAAAAATATTCCTTTTCAGAGATTTCGTTGCGTGCGCTGCGTAAACGGATAGACTTACACAAAAATCATGTATGAAAAAGTTGCTCTACTTTAAGAGTTCTTAAAAAATCTGCAACAACATATGTCTACCTTATAAGACTCACTGTAACCTGTTTTTGGTAATCAAAGTTATTCTAAAATAATTCATTATTTGCGAAGGTGTTTTTGTTAACATGATAATTATTCTTCCACAAAATTAACACATTATTCATCACAAGTATTTAATTTTGATCAAAATTATTCGTGACTTCAGCCAATTTTAATAAATATCTCAAGAGATATAATTGATTGTAAACTTTTTGAAAATAACACAGCATCAAAACAATCACCACTCACGCATTTATGCTCTCCAATTTGTATGTTTCTTTCAAAAATCTCAATCACACAAAACCTTCTGTACGGATTTAGATGAAATATGGTGCACATATATTTTATGACCTGATTTGATATATAGGAGACTTTTTATTCTGGAAAGGTGTAAGGTATCTAAAGGATTTTCAAAAACTAAAGCCGCTAGTAAACATAAATTTACCAAAAATTATCGAGATCTCCAGTAAAGTTATATCTATTAACCGATTAATCTTTTTGCTTAGGCAATGACCTTACCCTTATTACATTACAAGCGATATGTAACGCGAAACACACTTCGTAGCGCGTAGTAGCTTGAGGCAAGACTGCAACGGATATGCGTAGCATTGAAATGTAGACTTGACAGCTAGCTCTGTAATTCGCTACGAGCTTGTGTTGTATGTAGCAATGCAATGAAGTTAGTCTGGTATCTACTGGTATTAATACGTCAGCCATCGTCTTCTTTAATCACAGCATTTAAACTCGACGAATATCTATGTTTGTCGTATGGATTTTTTGAAGGTTTAAATTGAGCTGAAAGCTACTTCAGTCAACTTAGCTCTGCCAGACGCGCCTTCGTGTTAGTGAATTCCTCCTATGCCGGTGTCTTCGTCAATTTTCAATTTATTCGAAATAAATTTGTTGTTAAAAATCTTATGCATTTTAATTTCAATATACTGGAAATATTATTTTTTTGGCAAAAAGTTTACAAACTTTTGCCAATATAAAAATGCTTTGTGAAATGCAAAAATAATACGGAGTAAGCATTTAAAATTTCGTCAGCCTTTCAGTTAAAATTTGTTCCGGATTGAATCAGAATCAGATGTGGTGAGCCTTTTAAAATTGAAAAAGTTACTATTCAGCAATTATGAGAGCTCTTTCACCGCTCAGGAAGTTCCACTTTAACTTGAAAGGTTTTCTGAGTTTTCGTGTTGTATTCATGATATTCCGATAAAAAATTATATGCCCAATCTTTTCTTTATTCTGGCGAGTTAAATTGAAATCTTAGACGTCGCAGTTAAAGCTTAAATTCATATTCGAGTTCAGTTACGCTTACTTGATATAATACCAACCACGAACGAATTTTTTATGAGATAGGTAATGTTTTAATCTTGCTTCGAGATTTTCATGGCGTATAACGTAGCTCAGGAGGGAGGAGGCACAGAGGATTTTCCGCTCGCATTGGAGTATCCGTTTCCAAAATATAGCCATCCTCTACCTACGACCCGTACCCGTGGGGTCAGATTATGCAAAACGCGGCATAAACTCGGGTGTGACAAGCTTATTTAGCTATGTTGATGTATGTATCTTAAAATGCTAGTTTGTCAACATTTTTACATAAAAAAAAATGATTTTTAATGCATTAGCCCGAAAAGCGAGGGTACGGGTTCGAGTCCCGCCTCCTGCCTGGTTCGCGTGGATTTTTTTCTATTAAACTTTTCTTTAGACAAATAGTGTTATTTATATTAAGTGTAACTAAACATTAACATCTTCAATATCAAGGAAGTTAGGGCAGAGTCATCTTCGCTGGCAGCACCCTTTATGTTGGCTATGATCCACTATGCGTGGGCTCTTTGGGGATCGGTGGGTGTTAACAACTGCAGGTGCAACTATACTCCCGAACACATCTATCGGCCCACCTAACATTATAATTTTTGACCTATACGGTTTTGATGGTCCCTAGCTAAAAATAAATGTTACAATGAGCAAAAAGTTTTTACGCAGTTTTGAAGCTGATTTATAAACCATCTTTTTCGTGTGTTTTTAAAACTATATTATTATTGCTCAATGTAGCTTAATTAAATTTTTACTTCAGACCGTTAAACTTATAATACTAAGTACGTCGATAGATGTGTCCCGAACCATATTTTCGACCATCGTGAATTATAAAATTTTCTCAATTTATCATTGCTTCGTTGCTAAAAAGTGACAAACATAACATAACTACATTAAGTCATAGTCCCACAAAAAACAAGTTTTTATTGAGCATTGCTGCTTTCAATTTACTAACCATTATGCTACCGCGGGCGTGTCGAATTATCTCTATCCTTAGGCTGCAAGGCAGCGCCATCTCTTCGCATTGTAGATAACCCACAATATTAAAGTAAATGTTTAGCAGTTAAATGCTTAAAAAATAAAAAAACATAACATTATTTGTATCTATACTGTATGACACAGCAATCCAAATGCAGGTAAATAATTAATGTATATTTAAACATTATGTAATGAAAGATGACTTCATGAATCATCTCTGAAGTTATGACGACTCATTAAATAATAGAACGAGGAGTAAAAAACAGCCCTTGGTGAGTTTTTTGCCGGTTCTTCTCAGTACAAGATCTCCCACGAAGATTTACGAACTAATTTTGATTATGATTATAGCACGTTATCTCTATTTAGATGATGACCAACTTTTTTCTTCGTCTATCAGGTAAACTATTAATTAGCTTTGGACACGTATTTATTCATT